GTCAAGTGGGATTTGTGGTGGACAAAGTGGCGCTGGGTCAGGTTTTCTCCTAGTACTTTGGTTTCCCCTGCCAATCTTCATTCCACTAATTGCTCCACAATCACCGTCACCTATCATCTGGGGCTGGTACAATAGGCCAGAAGTGGCCGCAGTACAAGGGACTTAGTCCCACCCCACTAGCATTAAAAAGAAATACGTATGAACCAGGGAGACAAAATTTATTTATATATTTATTTTATTGATGGCATATTACTGATTACTGTTTCAATTTCCGAAATTAAACTGCGTCGAATTACAGCACGATTGGTGGTCATTAAACAATTTGATACAACATGGAAAGAAGCGGAAGTGGAGAAATTCGAGATTCCATCTCGGCATTTGCCTGAAGGGGCTGAGGAAAAACATGATAAACCTCAGACACGATAACTGTTTCCCCGGCCGAGATTGAACAAGTGATCATTGTTTGTGAAAAGTATGCGTCTCGCCTACTCTAAAAATTGAAGCAATTAACGGCCTTTCAACAATAATAGCTACATTTTACTCGAAGTATGTTAAAACTGGTTTCATCTGAAAAATTCAGCAACAGAATTAATATTGTATCGCATATTGAAAAGATCATAACGTCATCTGCTCTGCTCAATAAAACTACCGCTTTTTCATTAAAATAGCTTGAAAATATGGGGCAATTTTTTAGTAAAAACTATGGTCTCTGATTCCATGAACATTTGTCTGGAAAATTAAAAATCACTGTTTAAATATGAGAGGCCAATTTTACCCTGTTTTTCAGGAGCATAAATCAAGCAGTAGCCAAAAAGTATGAGGAGTTAATACAGTTCAAAATTATTCCAAAATTTCTTGTAAAAGATTTCAGTTCTCCACCTTTTACAAATTGCAGTTTTACCGTCAAGAAAGGTCGCTTATTTTAGTACAAATTTATTTGTGGGTCGCGGAGGATTGAATTCAATATTATAACGATTTGCATATTTATTGTATCTATATCTGGAAATATCTATAGATAGGCAGAAAGCAGAGAGTTCTCTGTATTTACTACATGTTTACCTTCTCTTCGCGTAACATTTGTAATCATCCTATATTGAGACGAATTCCACGTTCGTGAATATCAAATCGGCTGATGATTTTGAACAATTCGCTGAAACAAATGATTACACTTGGGGATTGCTCTACTTAAAAATACTGCTATGAAAAATATATATTATGGTCCATTTTTATCGTGAACGTGAGTACCTTGTGTCGTTGATACATCTTGGGGCCCTTATGTGCTATAGCTAAGGTTACCCCCTACGTAAAGACCACACGTTCTTCGTATTTATAATCCTTCTTATGCATACTGTCGCCTTTATAATGGCTTAAGTTCTTTACATATAGTAACAAATAAATCCACAGAAGTTTCTCGAGCAAAATAAATTGAACCAAAGCTGGAGCGCATCCCGGCACAGAATTATCAAGGCGACGAAAGAGAGATTTTAGTATCCGAATAGAAATTCAGAAGGAGCGAAACTTAACTGGATCATGAAAAATAATGACCTTCACTGTATATAAAGATACTATCGTGCTATAACACTATTAAAATAGTAATAGACCTACTCAGACCCTTAAACAGCTACGGAGCTGTGTGTACCTATCTACACACACAGAAAGATAAGGAACAGTACTACAGGGGCAGGTGAAGAACCTGCAGTCAAAGGGCATACATGATATCTACACCAATTTACTTGAGAACTACGCAATACTACACAAACACCCTTACCCTTGCGCAAATCCAAACAAGGAGACCTCAAACAACGTCATTTGGATGAATGGACGACGACCCCAAACAAAATATTGGAAAAGAAATTTTAACTTAATATTAATTACTTTTTATTGATTTTAATTAAACTGTATTTATTTTGAGTAAGATATATCACATTAAAACGAATAGCCTAATAGAAATAGGCAAAAAAAAAACACTTTCATCAATATGGACAGTCCAATATTATTTTCCACAAGATAATATTTTCCCACTGAAACAAGAAGTTTTCTGTCTCCAGTTATAAAAGTTCAGTACCACGTTCACAAGGGATCGCTGCTTATTCTCATCCTAGGAATAAATACATCAGTCCACATCGCCACATCCCAATTTTGGAGGATATAATTATCTAAATAATTAAATATATAAATTATTTATAAATATTTATATACTTAATTATTTAAGATTAAGATATTTATCTCCCTTCTACTTCAGTGTTTCAAAAATGAGCCTCTTCCTTCAAGATTTCGGACTAAAATTTTATACATAAAAATTATTTCTTAAATGCTTTCTACATGTAATCCTCAATTGAACATTCATGACTTGGTCATCGTAGTAACATCTGAGGCGGTCACGGTATCGTGCGATCTTCGCTCGTTCTGAAGCCGGGATCCTGGGTTTGAATCCCACATAAGACATGGATGTTTGGTATGTGTATGTATTGTCCTGTGTTTCAGTAGAGGCCTTGCGACGAACTGATCACCCGTCCAAGGAGTCCTACCGTCTGTAAAATGATCAAAATGAAAAAAAAAAACAACCTCGACACCGCAAGGTATAAGAGGAATGGATTAAGTAAGCAATAAATTAATACTTGATTCAAAGCACAAATTAGGAAAGTCCTACTCTTCCTCTTGAGCGGAGAACCACGGGTTGCTTCTACGTTAAGCCCTAAGACGGGATATAAAATTAATTTATACCCGTGTTGCCTTTGGGCGGCTTTTCAACTGATGAGAAGAGACATCAGTTATAGGTTAAAGGCGTAAATGTAGGAACAGCTGAATCCTCGGCTTAAACTGCACACAATTTACCCTGTGACAAAAAAATTGTAATAAAGGAAACTTGGATAGCATTACAAAGAGACAATTAAGGGCGGCGTCCCCTGGAGCAGAGAAAGAAAATCAAGACGTTAGCAAGAAGAAAGGAAGTGTGTGCCAGTGTGAGGAAGCGGTGGAGAAGTGCTTTCTTCTTAACACACCATGGATGCGTCGAATGGAAGCGAAAGTTCCGAATAACAAGGGAGAAATATTATAAAATTGAATTCTTAAACGTAACAGTTCATGATAGTTTATGTTATGCAGTAAAAGGAAACATTATATTTTTCTTCGAGAAAGCGTATTTCCCACAAACAAACTGACACACATTTGATTATAAAGTACGAAGTTTAACCGAGTTATAAGAACGCTTACAAAATTTATGATCCCATTTTGTAATAATGAGTAAATTTCCTTGTCTGTGCCCTCAAGAAATGCGTTCACTTAATTTTGTTACAAATAATATAGTCTTCAGTGACAGTCTGGGGGAGAAAACAAAAAATATATTCAGAATATTAAAGATAACGTGGAAAACATTCATTTGGAAAACCTAGGGGGACAAACTTCCGTTTTCTACCATCGGATGTGGGGACGCTGACACACACTACAATAATGAAAATATCATAGATTTAATTGTGCATCTCTTCATAAGGAATCTAACGGGACACATTATAATAATATTTTCTATCCTCTTGCTCCCACTTTGGAGCTTAAGGCTGATTTCTCAGTTTCATGATCATTTTACAGATGGCAGGGCTCCTTGGACGTGAGGTCAGCTCATCGTAAATTCTCTACCTAAACACAGGACAACACAGACACATAATAAACGCATACACACACTAAACTACCATACCTTGTGTGGGATTCGAACCCATGATTCCGGTTTCCAAGCGAGCGAAGACAGTATACGCCTTAGTCCACTCGGCTACCGTGACTACAATAATTAGCGTGAAAGAAATACCCATTAGTCAAGACTTGTAAAGTGTCAAAGCCGTGACTGAATAAGCCCTATAAAATATGAAGGACTTTTTGTTTAATACCATTAAAAGAGTCGACTAGCTTCAGAGCTAGCGAAGAATAAACATAAGTATGAAGACGAAGGGGAGGAGAATGATGCCGCAAAAATGGATTAAAAAGGAAATTTCTGACAACCCTTCGCAGAAGGATGAATGAGAACCCTTCATATAAATTGGCTGGTATGAGTTCAGAAAGGTTTCAGCGGTTCCACAAGGCGACGTTTGAAAGAGACGCAGGCACATGTGCGTATATTTCCAACCAGCCTATGAAATTCCTTTGAAATCGCGACTTTCGTATATGCGGCCAGGCTGGCAAAGATACGAGAACTAATAATTATAGTAAAATTCCGCGACTTATTTATGTACATGATTTCTAACAGTACACGTTCATACAACGTTGTAAAGTTAAGCTTTCGACTGTCTCCACATTCATAACAATCGTAACGCAAAAAATAATTCAGTCTAAATACGCAGCTCGGTTTGTCACCTGACTACAAACCGAATTCCACAAGCCTATCTTTAGTTATTCATTAGTTTCCGCCCTAAACCCCCCGGATGAAGATAAAATTTAGTCCAAATGCCATGTTGCTTTCATTCTAAAAAGAAATTACCCTAACAAAATACCATAATTTTCTCTACACAGTATTTGAATAACTGAAGTTATTTACAATCCCACCTCAAAAGTTCTTAAGGTAACAATATTAACACTATTAATAATTTGAAATTATAAACGACACATATTCGAAGTCTTCTAATATCACGATGGTTATAATGAGTATCAATAAAATCAATAAATTTGGTCGAAAGATTTTACGGAGTGGCCCACAGACCGACATGTAAACAAGGTAACATGCCCGCCATTATTAAAATCAAAAATGATTCCGAAACAGAACAAAAGAGGACGCCCGCTTTCTTATTTCTTCAACCTGTGGTAAATCACGTAAATTTGAGCAAGGAACACGGAGAGATTCAAGAAGATATTTCTTTTATCTGGAATCCCCATATTCCAGAACTGCTCCATTTGCGGCACGGAAATGACTGAATAACAAAATATATTAAGGAACAAAAACTTTCATTGCACGATGAATGCTGAATGCTTTAAAACGCAATATATTAAACGGGTAGATAAGTTTATATGTGTCTCACCATTGAGGACGTGTACGGCGATTGTAGTTGAGGCAACGTCCGCCAGGGAGCACGTGTAGTTACCAGAGTCCTGCTTATTGGCGTTAGCGATGTACAGAGAGCTCATTGCTCCACCAGGCTGAATGTCCGTCTTGACACTGCAAAGGAAGGTGACATTTAAAAACACAAAGATAATTAAAATATTATGTTTCCGGACATTATCCATCGTCCTGTTTTTATTTAGAACACAGCGTTTCGGAGACTGGATTCTGTCTTCAACTTTCGGTAAAACCTACTCAGTTAGGCCCAATCGATGGAGCTAGTCCCTATCTCCAGTCAACTGGGCCCAGCTGAGTAGGTTTTATTTGAAGACGGAGACAGAATCCAGTCTCTGAAACGTTGTGTTTCAAATAAAAACAGTACCGAATTTAAAATAAGGGGAACGCAGTAGCGTTGTTGGTTAAGGCATTATGCTACAAGCCGGTAGGTCGCGGGCTCAAGTCCCGATGAGGTCATTGATTTTTTTTTTCAATTTACTTAATCCTTCCAGCCGCACTATGGCCCTGGGATCGACTCAGCCTCTAACAGAAATGAGTACCAGGAATTAATTAAATAATTTTCCGGGGGAGTAAAGTGCGGCCGGCGCGTAAGGCTGACAACCTTACCGCCATCTTTGAGCCGATTGTCTAGATCAGTGGTTCTCAACGTTTATGAGACCACGGCCCAGTAAGTTCTTTCTTTATAAGACGAGGGCCCAGTCCCAACAAATTTACTCGTAAAAACCTTTCCAGTTTTGTTAAAGTTCATGCATTAAGATAACTGTAAAATATTTATTCATGAAAAATTCTTAGAAAATGAAAATGACAAATTTCAGAAGAGCCTCTCGCGGCCCAGTATAATTGATGCCAGGGCCCACTACTGGGCTGCGGCCCGGCGGTTGAGAAGCACTGGTCTAGATAATGTGGGACCCTCAACGTCTCACAACCCCATGGACCTTCACAGCCTGTTACAGGGATAGCTTTACTTATTTACAGGGTTTTAAATAAAAACAGGACAACAGGACGATGGATAATTTCCAGAAACATAATATTTATGTTAATTTACGACCGTCATAATCTTCTAGAACTTATTTACAAGGATAATTATTCATCCTGTGAAGTGTATTCGGAACTTGGGGAAAAGATTCCACTAGTTCTATGACATCGGTCGCAGAGAAGTTGTGGATTTCCATCCTCTCACGTTTCAAAACTGCAGCAAGTTCTTTATAAGTTCACAAAAACGAGCAGATACTCCCGTGTCATGAAAATATGTCAGTGCTCTAACCGCTCGCCTGTGCCTGAACAGGCGGCTGGCTGTGGGTGATGAATGGCAAATTGTGACGCAGTTCGCACTCGTGGCCTGTAATAAAGTAATGTTGCAGAAATAGAGGAAATAATGAAACATAAAACTAATTGGCTCTGTGCCGAGAATCGATCATGGAACTTCTAGGATAAGTAGGAATGGTAATAAATCTAAATGAAATACGGAGAAAATATGCCAAATGTTACTAGCAAATTAAAAAAAAAATTGAAGTGCAAGATTAAGTGTTATATAATTATGATGTAATGAGGAACTTATGTACAAACTGTTTCTGGTTCAGATTTCGGTTTGGATGCGGACTGAATTTAATCAAATTATTCTCTGACATTAAGGGAGGAACATAGACTGAGGGTGTTTGAGAACAGGGTATTGAGGAGAATATTTGTACCGGAGAGAGATGAAGTGACAGGAGGTTGGAGAAAACTGCATAATGAGGAGCTTGATAACTTGTACTCTTCTCCAAGTATAATTAGAATGATCAAGTTAAGGTGGATAATGTGGGCAGGGCATGTAGCACGAATGGGTAGAAGAGGAATGCGTAAAGGATATTGGTGGGGAAGCCAGAAGGAAAGAGACCACTGGGAATAACAAGGCATAGGTGGGTGGACAATATTAAAATGGATCTTACAGAGATAGGATGGGATGGTATGGATTGGATTGATCTGTCTCAGGATATGGACCAGTGGAAAGCTCTTGTGAACACGGTAATGAACCTTCGGGTTCCATAAAATTCTGGGAAATTGTTGAGTAGCTGCAGAATTGGCGGCTCCTCCAGAAGGGCTCAGCTCCATGATTAAGTAAATATTCGTACTTAATCCAGTCTCTCTCGACATATGTGAGGATAGAATTTAGTTGTAAAGATTTGAGGTTTGAGGTTTTCACGGTGGTGATTATGAATAATGCCGTCTTCTGGAATGTGGCGCCGTGTAGGTATTGTGTTAACCAACGTTTCGGAGGAACGTATCGACTCCATTTTCAGGGTACAAGAAATCCACGAGCAAGGAACCAGCGTGAGCAAGTGGCTACAGACTGACTCTGGATTATGTAAATTAAAAAATCCACCTCATTGGGCTCGAACCCTCATCTTCCGGCTTGTAGCATATTTCCTTAACCAACTACGCTACCGCGTGCCCCAAAATTGAAAAGATAATACAGTTAAAATCTTATAAAGCAATAGCGGATGGTATGCTCTTGTATGGATGTGAAATTTTGGCTCTGAATATTTTTGAAAAGATGAAAATTTAAATATTGGAAATGTGTTTCTTAATATACACTTACCACCCATGTATGAAATACAGTACACATAGATAGAAGATAGAATCCTAGGCTACAAAAACGTGTGGCGTCATCAAAACTTAAGACCGACTCCTCAAGTCTGCTCCTACATGTTGATAATTACCAGCCGGACAGAAAAAGAAATGTTGGACGACCAAGAAGACGATGGCAAGGTAGTCTTTGAGAAGGAATGGGCTAATGAACGCCTACCTTGAAGTAGATGATGATAATGGTGAAGGGATTTAGGTCTTCAGAGCGCCCTTCCCACATCGTCAACAAAAATGCCATGACAATAATTTGCAGAGTAGCCGGACAGCTAAACACTCGGCTTCTTTGTCCTCTGACGTCACTAACACTTATTAACGAGTATGGGCGAACGGATGACTTATCGATCTTGTCATTAGAGAATGCTGTGTCCACTAGGACACGGGACTTGTCTGCGTTAATGGCCACGAGATAGGCGATGTGCCAAGATCTCACAGCCTGACGATTTGCAAATAAACCTCCCTGCCCATCAGATACTCATGACAACGCGAGTTCTCAGATAAAATTGAAATGTCTCTGTTATTGCGTTCTTTAAGGAACATAAATCTTCCAAATATAAATCAGAGATTTTTTAGGAGCGCTGAAAAGTCGGCGGATCTTAATTTTCATACTTTTCATCTCATTATTACAAATTATGTTACCTTGCAATGTAAAATTCAGTTCCTTTCTAGAAGTTCTAAAGGTACAAGAACTTTAATTTCAAGAGTTTTCATTTCCCTTTATATATTACTATTTCTCGTAATGCACAATTCAGTTTCTAGAATGTACTGAGAGAGCAAAGGATATCAATTATCATATTTACCTCTCACTAGTACACATTATATTACCTTAGAGTGCTATATTCAATTTTTGGAAAGAGTTCTAGAGGTATGAGGAATCTAATTATTACATCTCACATATAATAATTATTACATAATATGTTATCGTGGTGTGAAAAAACACTTGAGGAGGTTTCTAGATAAAAGAAATACCATTCCCAAATTTTGGTTATCAGTGTTACATAGTGTGTTATACTGTAATGAAAATAAAGAAATATTTTGGGAAGTTTCATTTTGCAGTTACTCAGACACACACGCAAAGTAAATAGTAAAGCTATCCCTGTAACAAGCCGTGGACGACCATAGGGTTGTGAGACGTCGAGGCTTCCACATTTTCTAGAAAATCGGCCTTCAGATGGCGGTGAGATTCTCAAACTTAAGCGCCGGCCGTCCACAGGAAGATTCCTGGTACTCATTTCTGTTAGAGGCTGAGTTGACCCCAGGGCCATAGCGCGGCTGGAAGGATTAGGTAAATTGAAAAATCCAATGGCCTCGTCAGGAATCGAACTTGCATCCATCCTCTTTGTGGCATAATGCCTCAACCAGCTATCCTACCGCGTGCCCCCACAAACACACATAATCTGAGAATTTCCTGAAATAATGGTTTTTGATTAATACAACAAAGTTCAAAACAAGAGGCCAGGGCCCAATGAAAGGATTGTGGGGTCATACTTATAGTATATAGATTGATATGCTTTGTATCAGACAATTTATTTCAAATTGTAACGCTTCTTCCTATATTTGGGAGATATTCAGAATATCCACCGGAAATCTGTTGTACTGTAGGAGGTCTTTCCTAGTTTTCCTCAGTTCCTCCAGTCAAATATTGTGAGTGTACCTCAGGCCACGACAGCTTTCTTACAGATATCTTCCAATTTATTGCTCACTGATCATACAATAAACTTGTACTCTTCTCCAAGTATAATTAGAATGATCAAGTCAAGGAGGATGAGGTGGGCAGGTCATGTAGCACGAATGGAGAGACGAAGAATGCGTATGGTTTATTGGTGAGAAAGCCAGAAGGAAAGAGACCACTGGGAAGATCAAGGAGTAGATGGGTGGACAATATTAGAATGGATCTTAGAGAGATAGGATGGGATGATATAGATTGGGTAGATCTGGCTCAGGATAGGGACCAGTAGAGGGCTCTTTTGAACACAGTAATGAACCTTCGGGTTCCATAAAATGCTTGCAAATTCTTGAGTAGCTGCAGAATTGGCGGCTCTTCAAGAAGGACTTAGCTCCATGAGTAAGTAAGTAAGTACAATACAATATCCGACGCTACATAAACTGAGCCGCTGACAGCTACGATAACCAAAGCGTAAATTAAGAAGACAAATAAACATAAAATTCTGTGATGAAGGTAAAAGTTATGTTAAATGTTTTCCCCTGTCCGTGCTAGAGGATGATTCTAAATTATTGTCTGGGTTTGCGACAATAATTTAGAATCACATTGTATTATTATGTGGCTGCAAGAGATTAATATGAACAGAATGTGCAAACTCTGGTACCAGAAGAAGTTTCATGTTGTGCTAGGTGGAGTGTCATTGTCAACGATATTCCCTACTGGAGTACGTACCTGTAGTAAGATGATGATTTTTCTTTGTGATTCTAAATTATTGTCGCAAACCCTGAAATAATCTAGAATGTCCCTGTGCATT